TCCTGCTGCTTTGGGCATGCCTGGGTTTTCTCTCCTCACCTGGACCCCTGCCGCTAATATATACATATATCTATATCTATATTCACACACACACATATATATTTTTTTTTACAAATCCAGCCAATATTCCTCCTTTCAAAATTATTATCTGTTCTACTAGTAGTTCTTAGTATCTGAACCATGTGAGACTAGAGCTCTAATAGCCAAATTAAAATTCAATTAAAATTCAATTGGGCTTTAGTACTTGTGTACCAGATACATGCTTAGAGGAAGCTATGAAAACGTAGGATAGAGACTAACAAAGTTCTAGTCCTATCTTAGAGTTTTAGGCTTCCTATGAAGGAATAAGGCCAGAATAATTGAATGCAAATGCCTCTTGCTTTCAGATAACAGGAAAGAGGGTAAAGGAAGAAGGTTGTACCAGAGAGTACTGGCATAGGACATATGTGCTTTGTAATGGTCACATGGTAAATAAACAGTAACCCATACCTCTCTGCAGAGTTTTGTATATGGACACAGAAAGTATGGTACTCTTTGTACAGGAGACTGTGAATGATGGCCCCTAGAGTTGTGCAGAGCACATCAGTACACAGCAGCCCTGGGTGCCTGATCACACATATTAAATGTGTTGAATTGAATGAATGCATGCGTGAACTGGAATGAAATTATATATTGTAGTTATTTAATGAACTGAAATGAAATTTTATGTATATATATATAAATTCAAAATTAAAATATGTAATGTATTAGAAATATGTAAACTCTGTACTACCCTCTCATTAAATTCTGCACTATCTGCCAGACATGGAGGCTCAGGACCATAGTCTGGGAGGATACTAAGGTCAATGGGCATAACATATTGCACAATGTTCTACATCCCACTTTGGTGAGTAGCCACTGGGATCTTAAAAGCTTGTAAGTGGTCACCTAAAGTGTAACTATGAGCCTCTCCCCATCTGGAACAAAGAAGAGTGAAGAAAATCAAAGATGCAAGAAATAATTAGTCCAAAGGACTAATGGACCATGTGAACCCTACCATCCATGATCATGAGACCAGAAGAACTAGAGGGTACCCAGCTACCACTGCTGATTGTTCTGAAAGGGATCACACTAGGAAGTTCCAGAGAGAGTGGGGGAAATTGGGGAACAAAATTCAAAATCATAAAAAAGACCAGGCTTAATGGTCTGATGAAGACTGGTGGAACCCCCAGGCTACGGCCCGTACACATACTTCAAGGTAGAAACTAAACTCAACCCCCATGACTCAACTTTCAGACAAAATAATAGACAAGCCTGTAAGGTCAACAGTAATACCAGGAGGGTATGCACTCATTAGAACAATCAAACATCTGAGATCAAGAGGATAGCATTTGCCTAGGGATAGAGCTAGGAAGTGAGGAGGAAATAGGAAGATGAATGAAAGCAAGGGTTGGGCACAGGGAGGAAGTAGGAAGAATGCTGTTACAGTGTGGAGGTAACAGTAAATATCACAGAATAGAAAAACAAAACAAAACACAACAAAAAAACTACTCCACTATCTACTGGTGGGTTTGAATCACCAGCCTTCTGGTTAGCAATCAAATGCCTTGGGCGCTATGCCACCAGAGTGACTATGTATATATGGTGGATATAAATATGGTATGTGTGTCTGTGTATGTGGTATGTATGTAGATGTGTGTGTGTGTATACACTATAAAGTATATGTTATATATTTCTATCTAGCAGCTCCACAGAAGAGACACCTGACAAACTGCTTCCATAAATATTACAGACAAGAAAACTCTATGGAACAATTCTAGTCTATCACATATGGGGTTTCCATGAGTTGGAACTGACTCAACAGCAACAGGTTTGGTTTTATAATCTTACTATTGTTCTTAAACTGTACTGCATTTAAATCTTTTCTTCCTAATTAGACAATCATTTGCCTAAGGACTAAGAGCATAGTTTAAAAGTCTTTGATCTCCTCCTTCCCCTCCTTAGTGCACAACTCCTCGTAAGTGCTCAAAATGTCTCTGCTGAATTGAATTGAGAACAAGAATACTATGAGAATGTTACCCAGAGCTACTAGGACCCCAGTTAGAAAAAAAAAAAAAGAAGGGAGAGAAGATGGATGGATGGATAGACAGACAATACTGTCCTAGGTGGTAAAGTCCTCTTGATTGTTATCAAGGTGTCTGAATAGAAAATTGATCACTAGGTCTCATATCATCCACTTAAATGCTCAGCTTCAGCCATCTGACTCACTGAAGGCAACATTTTGGCTCTATAAATTATGATTTGGTAAACTTGTGGTTATTTATATTATTACACATTTTACTTTTCATCATTTGTGTACACCAATTCTAAGTGATGACACTACGCTACAATCACCTAAGAATTTCCCGTAACACTCTCATACATCTTTCCATCCCTATGGCCACTTACATCATACTTTCAGGCTCCACAGCACAAGCACCAACTGCTTTTGTGACATTCACAAGAAGAGCTTGGTTTATTCCAACGAGGAGGTTCACAAGTGGCTGAATGCCACCACATTTCCGGACAATGACACGGTTTTCATATTCTTGGCAGCACTCTCCCAACGCACCAACCACGTTCACAAGTACTTCCTCTGGCTGATCAGTTAAAAGACCTACCAAGGTTTCAATGGCTTTGTATTCACGAAACCTAAGTTTGTTCCAAGAAAAACAGAGAGAGAAAGAGGAACATTATTTTTAGTATAAAGTTAGCAGATATTAATGGTAATAATAACAACTGAAAATCACTATATATCAACTATATGCTCATTTAATTGTTGTTGTTTGCTGACAAGTCAACTTCAGCTCATAGAAACCCTAGGCTATAATTTTTACAAGAGGAGCCCTGCTAACCAAATTTCAGTGGTTTGAACTCACTACATACTCTGCAGGATAAAGATGTTGCAGTCTGCTTCCAGAAAGATTTGCAGGCTTGGAAACCCTATGGGGCAGCTCTATTCTGTCCTATAGAGTCGCTATGAGTCAGTATTAACTGGATGGCAATGGGTTATAGGAATCTTTATGGGAGCAGAAGGCCTGATCTGTCTCCTGCAGAGCAGTTTGAATCATCAACCTTTCAATTAGCAGCCAAGCTCTTAACTGGTGTACCACACCAGGGCTCCTTTATTGAATTGTAATCCTATAATATAATGTACATACTATTATAATCCCCATTTTAAGGTGGCTAGTGGCATAGTATCTTGAAGAAAGTAGATTGCTCAATCTTCCTTCTAAGGAGTGGCTGGTGGGTTTAAACCACCAGTCTTCTGGTTAGCAGTCAAATCCATAGACACTATCCCATTTAGGACAAAAACAAACAAACAAACAAAAAAAAACCTCACTGCCCTCAAGTCGGATCTGACTCATAGTGACCCCTCCTTGGGTTTCCAAGGCAGTATCACTATGGAAATAGATTGCTCAACCTTCCTTCCATTCCTTGGAAGTTTAGTTCCTAGCTTGAAGGGTACGTATGGGATATAGCCTAGCAGGTACCACCAATCTTCATCAGACCATTAAGCCTGGTCTTTTTTATGATTTTGAGTTTTGTTCCCCAATTTCCCCCACTCTCTCTGGAACTTCCTAGTGTGATCCCTTTCAGAACAATCAGCAGTGGTAGCTGGTTACCCTCTAGTTCTTCTGGTCTCATGATCATGGATGGTAGGGTTCACATGGTCCATTAGTCCTTTGGACTAATTGTTTCTTGCATCTTTGATTTTCTTCACTCTTCTTTGTTCCAGATGGGGAGAGGCTAATAGTTACACTTTAGGTGACCACTTACAAGCTTTTAAGACCTTGGAAGGAAGGTTGCCAGTCTACTTGCTTAATGATAACACCTTAGAAACCCAAAGAGGGGTTGATATGAGTCCGATGCGACTCGATGGCAGTGGGTTTTGTGTGTGTGTGTGTGTGTGGAATATTGTCTAGGGATTTGACTGCTAACCAGAAGACTGGCAGTTCAAACCCACCAGTCACTCCTCGGAAGGAAGATTGGGCAACCTCCTTCTATAGAGGTACCACCTCATAAACCTAAGGAGGGCTCTCTATGAGTCAGAAGTGACTGGGCAACAGTTAATTTGGTTTTTGGTGTTTGCAGTCTGAAACTTGGAGAGATTAAGGTTCCTAGCTTGTAAACAGTCAAGCTGGCATTCACACCAAGCCATCGGGCTCCAGACCTGTGCCCTTAACCTCTATGCTATACAATCTCTAAGACAACTGCAGTCTCCTTCAAATCTGAGAGTCCATAGTTCTACTCTGCTAAGAATTTTTTTCTCCCATCTTACAGGGACTATTTTACAGGAACAACACATTTTAAATTTTTAATGAAAATTAACTATATATTATTTATTTATGCTTTTAAACACATAACGCATGATCTATTGGACCTATTTGGGTTTAATGAGTCTTTCCAAATAAGTAGTTGCTTGCATTACTTGAGTAAAAAGATCATTCACCCTCAAACAACTTCTGTATTAATCATCAATGAATTTTAGCATCTCTCCTATCATGCAATTTCACTCTGATTTTTTTCTTTAATAATATACCCAATAGAAGGATGCAATGAAAAAGCACATATTCTTCTACAGAAGACAATTTCTTTTATCTAGTAAAGAAATTTCACCTGTATTTTAAACTAGTATGATGCAGCTGAATTTTTAAGGTTACTTAATAGAGCCACCATTACCAACAGAGGTTTCCTTGAGTCAATTTTGACACATAGTGACCCCAAGAGTGCAATGTACCCCATAGAGTTTTCAGAGCTATGACCTTCTGGAAGCAGATCATCAGGAATTTTTTTCCCAAGGGACCTCTGGCTGGGTTCCAACCTCTAACCTTCCAGTGAGTAGCCAGGCACTTGAATGCTTGTGCCACCTAGGAATTCCTTATCAGAGTCAAACCAAAAAACCAAACCCACAGACAACAAGTTGATTCCAACTCATAGCAATCCCTGTCAGGTTTCCAAGGCTGTGAATCTTTACAGAAGCAAACTGCCTCATCTTTCTCCCATGGAGTAGCTGGTGGGTTTGAACTGTGGCTTTTGGTTAGCAGCCAAATGCCTTATCACAGTACCACCAGAGCTCCTTTTATCAGAGTCAAGAACAAATAATTTTATTTAACTTAAAAGTTTGTTTATTTAAGTTACTTTTAATTCAGTCAAAACATTCTCTATTAAGTAACCATTCTGTGATAGTCAGGACATGTGACTTTCTTGTTAAAGGGATTCATCACACTAAGACAATAGAGAGTTGCCTCAGAACATCCATCACTGAGAGTGTGAACTCTTAAAATATAGAGGGATATAAGTTTAAGGATTAAAATAAATCAAATGGCCATATAGTTTACAAATATTTTTAAATAATATTCTGTAAAATCCCATTTGTAAATGGCTATGCTTTAGGGACAAGTGGTTAGCTGGCACTTACCTGACACCTTGTTTATGTTTAGAAAAAGAAAAGGCATGAAGCCACTTCAAGATCTAAAGATTCAGTGGGAAATTCATCCTATCACTGAGAGTTCTCACCAGAAAACATCAGATACTTCTAATTTAAATGGCTGCCCAAATGCAAACCAGCTCATTTGCATAGAGAAACTAAGTCAGCAAACCCCTTAGCCTTATTGTTATGATCTGCCTTCCAATGGGCCTAACTCATGAAGACCTCATGCACAACAGATTGCCGTGGTTACAGGGTTTTTGATGGCTGATTGTCTAAAGTAGATCACTACACCTTTCTTTCTAGTCTGTCTTAGTCTGGAAGCTCCAATGAAATGTGTTCAGCATCATAGGACTAGGCAAACCTCCACTGACAGATGGGTGGTAGTCGTGCATGAGGTGCCAAGAATCAAACCTGGGTCTCCCACACAGAAGGATAATTTTACCACTGAACCACTGCTGCCCTCACAGGAGCCCAGAAGCCCAGAAAATCATTGGCAGGTAGTGAGCCTGGGGTAGAATGTCTTTCATTTCTAAGAATCTCTTAATTATGTCAACTTATATAAAATGGATATCTATGAAAACTACAGAGGTAGCACCAGAATTGACTCTTTATTAAAATAGTATTAACTACAAGAATGTGTTTCAGTGGTTATGTTTGTATTACAGATTATTCAACGGCTCTTCTTACTTGGTCACGTTTTCTTTGCTGATGGAGCATTTCCAAATCGCACCTGTGACAGCCGCTAACCGTTCCTTATTGTCAGTTTTATTGAGTAAACTGGCCAGTGGTTTCAGTCCTCCGTGTAGCCTCACCAGGTCCCGGGTCTCCTCATCTTCAGCACACTGCACAAAAAGACAATCAGAGGCTGTCAATGTCAAAGTACATCAAGCTCCCAGTGATTGTTAAAGAGGCTGCCATGCTAACAGTGATTAAACTTCTTTCCAGAGTATCATTTGCTGAAGGAGGCTCTAAGTAAAATATCATTCTTGTTTCTGACAACGTATCTCAGAATTGTTTTTTCCTACATACAAATCTCCCAAGCCTTTTGCACAGTAGCCTGGGCTTCCACAAAAACAGAGGCAGAGGTCAGCAAAAGCCTAGAATGCCACTTGCATGGATGCAGTATTTCTCCAGTGATGCAAACAGAGTCTTAGGAAAATGTAGTGGAAAAGATACATGAGTGACAGGCATTCAATCAGATTTTCAATGGCCCCAATTCTAAGAGATGAAGAATTTTCCCAATAGAATCTCTACGCATATTTTAGAAAAATGGGTTATATTGATAAACCAAATCCATTGTCATTGAGTCAGTTCTGACTGTCAGCAACACTAAAAGACAGAGTAGAACTGCCCCATTGGGTTTCGAAGGCTGTCATCTTTAAGGAAGCAGGCTGCCAAATCTTTCTCCTGCAGAGAGGCTGGTGGGTTTGAATTGCCAACCTTTTGGTTAGTAGCCAAACACTTAATAGGTCATATTAATATTGTATCAATTATATCATATTGATAGCACCTGATATTTTATTCAAATACCTATTTATGTGTTACTTTTGAAATACAGTAGATTTTCCCTACTATCATCCTTCTCAGGTTATAGAGCTAATAGATGATAAATTTAGTATAGATTTGGTGATTTTCCTAAGCATATAGTTATCTCCAGATTCCAGATAGCATAGGTGCATGTCATGCATCATTCATAAGGGTCATAAGAAGAAACTGTACATCAAATGTATCACAGAGGTACATGTTTATCTGCTGTGTTTATCTTCTATGTGTGACTTTCAGTTCTGGTTCAGTTGAAACTCCTGAAAATTAATCACTATTTCTAATTGACCCTCAATAGTTACTCAGACTATGTGTATACATGCTCCTCTCTTGGAATAAGCCCCCTCTCTGACACTATGTTTTTAGCTCACTTTCTCACCTGGTACATCTTAAGTGCATTCCTCTAGGAAATCTAATCTAATTAGGTAGAAGCTGGCACCGCCAGTGACCAGCCACATTTAACTTGTCCAGGCCCTCTCTCCACCATTCTAATCTGTCCTCCAGTATACTATCAAAGTTATAATCCACAAAAAATTAATGAAGATTACTTAATAAAAAGACAATACAGGAATGCACACACATACTCATTTATCTGTTCTACAGTCACAGTGTTTAAATGTTGTTTGCTAGCAAGCTGCTGTCAAGTCAGCCCCGGATTCATGGTGACTCCATGCATGATTAAATGAAACACTGCCCAGTCCTGCTTCATGCTCATGATTGGTTATAGACTGACTGGACCACTGGGCTTTCACTGGCTGATTTTCAGAAATAAATCACCAGGCTTTTGTTCCTGGTCTATCTCAGTCTGGAAGGTCTGCTTAAACCTATTCAGCATTATACCAACAAGCACGCCTCCACTAACAGATGGTGACTGCACTTGAGGTACAATGGCCAGGAACAGGACTGAGTCTCCTGCATACCAAAACCAAACCAACCAATTGCCATAGAGTCAATTCTGGCGCATAGCAACCTCCACTTGGGTTTCCAAGGCTGTAAATCTTTACAGAAAGGAGCTCTGGTGGTGTAATGCCTAAGGCATTTGACTGACTGCTAACCAGAAAGTTGGTGGTTCAAACTCACCAGCTGCTGCATGGAAGGAAGATGGGATCTACTTCCATAAAGATTTACCACCTCAAAAACCCCATGGGAGTCACTATGAGTCAGAATCAAGTCAACTATGGTGAGTTTGGTTTGTTTCTGTTTTGTAATTCTTTACAGAAGTAGATTGCCTCATCTCCCTCCTGTGGAGTGGCTGGTGGGTTTGAACCACCAATCTTCTGGTTAGCAGCCTTACCCATTATGCCACCAGCACTCCTTGAGTCTCCTGAATGGAAGAGGAAAATTCTACCACCAAACCACCAATGCCCCATGGCTTTAAATAAGATCTATGAAAACCAATATAGAAATACCATGTACTATTTTACTATTTTTCATTAAGTAAATTGTTTTAGGAGAAAGATGGAGACGGTCATATAAGTTTCTTCTAGAAATGCAAATCATCAGACATATTGATGCAATTTTCTCTCTGACATGCACAGTTTTCTCTCTGTCATTACCGCAGGGCAGTGGTTCTCGGATCTCTGTGTGCATGAAAAAACCCCAGTGTGCTTGTTAAAAATGCAGATTACTGAGTCCCGCCCCCAAAGAATAAAACCACATGTTTAGAGTCACTGCTGTCAACTTTATGAAAGGGGCAACAATACAGACGAGTCTGGCAGACCTGATAGATGGCCATGGCACAGTGTTGCTGAAGCTGCTCATTCTCACTATTCAGGTTCTTCACTAGGTTTTCAATTATCCGTTCTGCTTTGATAGCAGCTCGGTAGTTTTCCTAGGAATATAAACAGAATACATATGTGTTTGCAATGTATGAATATAAAAACAACCTATTATATTTATATTTTATATTTTAATATGGATTTGAATAAATCTCTTTTGAGCGCAGTTTCCTCTTCCCTTATTTTGTCAATGATTTCGGAACTTGAACTATAAATCTGAATCTTTCTTTTTCGTTAGGAAAATCATTCTCAAGGAAACTCTGAATAATCTGGTACTTGTTTCTTTGGCCTTCCTACCTAATCTCACCGTCAAACTATATCGGAATAAAGAACTAAACTAATACCTCTTCCTTCTTACCTCATCCCGCATATCCACACGTCTGACAAGGGTCCATTTACTAAATGGAAATAGAATGGTATATGTCTGTTTTACTAATATTTTTAGTTTAGTTTTCCAATATATCATCACAGTTTTGGAAAAGTATTTTGAAAACTTCTGTATATTCTTTGCAAATACTGTAAATCTCTTAAAATGAAGAAACTTGGCAGCTGATTCTCACAGGGTCAGGAATATCCTGCACACATTTCACACAGGTTTCAGAGGCAGGTCAGAGGCCCAGTATGGGTGAAGTGGATTAGCACATTTTCTTTAGAGTCAGTAGAGAACTCATTTGTTTATTATGGGAAGAGGTGCTGGAGTTAGGGAAGAAACACTATTTAGATTAATCTAAGTCCTTTTTCTGAACAAACTTTCTTAGTAAAGAAACAAAAAACCTCCCAGTTAAACATATCTATGTAACAATATGACAGTTTAGTCAAATATTAAAAAAATATTTCACAGTAGTACTGATTTAATTAACGTTCTATTGGTTTGATCTTCACTTCTGGTAGAATGCTGACTTTTTGAAAAATAAACTCCTTTGCAGTCATAATAACCTTAAAATTATTTTTTGACTAATCAAAAAAACTGTATTAAACCAATTGCCATCAAGTTGATTCTGGCGACCCCAAGTGAGCAGAGTAGAATTGTTCAATAGGGTTCTCTTGGCTGTAACTTTTAGAAAGCAGGTCGACAGGCCTTTCTTTCAAGGCACTTCTGGGTGGGTTTGAACCACCAACCTTTTGGTTAGTGGTCAAGTGCTTAACTGTCTGCACCACCCAGAGACTCAAAGACTAAAGTAAATCCAGGTAAATAAAGGCAAGGGAGGTTGGCCTGGCTTGGGTACCTCTGATGCACATTCTTGCAAGGTCCCCACCACTGGAATTAACATGTCTTCATGAGAAGTCTTCAGTAATCGAGCCAACAAAGGGATGCCCCCAGCTTTACGAATGGCTTCTTTATTTGCGTAACTTTTGCTGCAGCTCCACAGTGCCTGCGCACCACAGCGAGCCACCTCCACGTCTCTGGTCTCATAAAGAGAGGGCTGAGGAGGTTCCGATGAACTCTGTCCACAATCAAGTAGAGCAACCTACAAAAACAGATAAACATGACACACAGGATATCTTGAAAGTAAAACTTCATGGATCCTTCAACAGCTACAGGGTTGCTACCAAGCTCACCTCTGTCAAAAATAAGAATAAACAAAGAAATTGATTATTGTACTATTTAGCAGCCAGTAAAAACAGAGAAATAAACAAAGCCATTGAAGCTAACTTTCTCCAAATTTAGTGGCTTTTATATTTGTTTCTCACAAGAAATTTAATCCCACTAAGACACATTTTCTTCAACATGGCTCTAATACTTACACAGGGCCCTAGGGTGGCACAAACAACTAAGTACATGACTACTCATTGAAAGGTTAGCAATTCACAAGGTTTCCATGAGTCAGAGTCAACTCAATAGCCATTGATTTAACGTTTATATTCATATTGTGAACCATATCCTCAATCCTGGTATCTCAGAAAACTAGCCTCCCTAGAGCCAAGTGGAACTTTCTAATGAGAACTGGGTGGACTATTCACTCTTAAAGCCATGAGACCTTTTGGGAAGACAAAGCCAACCTCAGTCACCACAGCCAATCAAGCCAAGTGGCACAGCTGCCACGGTTCTCATTTTTCTTTTGCAATAACCAAAGATACTGAAAACCTTACAGAAAAAGGCAATTTACTAAAGAATACAGCAGTAGGTCGGGGTACCCCATGGAGAAAGTGAAGCCAGATTTCCCCAGAGCTGGGATTGGACCAATGAAGAAGAAACAATGAACCATTCTATAGGCTCACTGTCTTTATCTAGGGACCCAAGACCTGTTATCTATGAATGTCTCCTCCATTTTTCTCTCTCTGCAGGTCAAATTTCATGTATTCTATTCCATAATCATAATCCATAGACCTAAATTTTATAATGAAGTAGCCCAGACTAAACAGACTCTCTCCATCCAATTAAAAATTCCTAGGCAAGAGATCTGCTTGGACGATCTTGAGTCAAGTGGATACCCATAGTTTATGGCACAAGTAAAGACAGGAGGCAGGCTGCCAGGTACCTACTGCTGATGGGATAGCAATAAGTGGAAGAAATTCTAATACAATGAGATTGTACACAGGGCTAAAAGGTATCTGTCAACTATAAGTATTTTCTCATTATCTATATAAATTTCAGACTCCTTAACTCATTGGAGAAGGTTCTATATGATCACTATGGTCTTCTGTGGTCATCTCTCACTATTCAGCTAATCTCACTCTAGGTCTGGCCAAACTAAACCACTTGCAGTTTCCAAACACTCAGTGTTATTTCCCAGCTCTGGGATTTTACCAACACAGCTTCATCTTCCAGAAATTGCTTTCCCCAGTGTGTTTGCCTGACAAATACCTATTCTTTTTTCAAGGCTCAGCAGAAGCAACATCTCCTTTCTCCAGTTGTTCTTGACCCTCCTCCTCAAAGCAGAATCGGGTGATCACCCTCCTTCACCATTATGATGTTTCTCTGCTACTCCCACTATTGATTTCAATGAAATATATAACACTTGAATTAAATATATACACTTATTTTATTCACTATGCTCTACCACTACTACAGTGTGAGATATACATTTATTTATATTCCTGGCACCAGACACTTAGTGCTGCTGTTGTTGTTAGGTGCCACTGAGTGAATTTCAACTCATAGTGACCTCATGAGACAGAATAGAATTGCTCCATAGAGTTTTCTAGGCTGTCATAATGATAGGAGTAGACAGCCAGGTCTTCCCATGGAGCCACTGGGTGGGTTCAAATTACAAAGCTTTAGGTTAGCAGCCAAGTGATTAACCATCAGGACATGATGGACACCTTGGACACATGTTGTTCTTGTTGTTGTTATGTGCCGTGGAGTCAGATCCAACTCATAGCCACCCCTCCTTGGGTTTCCGAGCCAGTATCACTACGGAAGTAGATTGCCCAACCTTCCTTCTGAGGAGTGGCTGGTGGGTGTGAACTGCCAGCCTTCTGGTTAGCAGTCAAGTGCCTTAGGCACTACACTACCAGAGCTCCTTCCTTGGACACATAGTACTTAATAAACATTTGTCAAATGAAACAGTCAAGAATACTATGGGCACAGGGGAACACAAAAACTGGCCACAGGACTGTTAGCACCATTGTGTGCAAATACTAACTTGTATCTTGCAGCATATCCCTGCCTAGAGCATTCTTCTTGTTTGCTCAGACCTCATGACTTCTACCCACCATCTTCCATCAGGTGGGCCTCTCCAAAAACTGACCTCTATTGAGGTGTGCAAGCCCCACACTGGCCAGTGCCTTCCTGCCTATTCTGAACTTGACCTCAGTTCATGTGCCCTGATACCATCAGTGGCCCACTGCACCACCTATCCTGTTCTATAGAGGGAAAACTAACAGTTATGGGGGGGTCTTTTGCTTGTTTGTCATCTAGCTCTCATGCCTATGAAACCAAAACCAGATCTCAACCCCTAACTTTCCTGGATATAAATATAGCTCTCAGCTAGCGATTATAAGGTTATTATTTATATTATTGGACTTCCTTGTCCCTAACTTAGCTATCATTTAAAATTATTATTAAAATGTAGGTCATTATCTTGACTAGGTTAGTGTAACTGTTCAAATACTAGGTTCCCAAACGTGATTCATGTTGTTACTGTTATTGTTGTTGGGTTTTAAACTGCCCATCTTTAGGTTAGTAGTCAAGTTCAAACAGTTTGTCTTCAGCAACAAGCTAATGAAAATAAACAAAAAAATTATATTTAAGGACATTTAATACTAGAAGAGTCCCAGAATACACTCTGCTGGCTATTTCATGTCTGGGAGTAGGTGGGAAGGACAGCAGAGGGCTGATTTTGCAATGGCTGGATCAGTAGTACTTACCAGCTTGGTGATGCCCCCGTGCTGTCTCACTGCCTGACGGGCACGTCTAAACTTGGCAACATTAGCAATTGTTTCAGCTGCCAAGCATTTAAGATTCTTGTTTGGAGAATCAAGTATGTTAACCATAATTGGTAAGCCCCCAAGGTCAACAATATTACGTCTGATTTGAGGATTATGGCTGATCTCCTTCAGGATTTTTAATGAACCAATCTAAATGAGAAAAAAGTTATATGTGAATGAGGGCTTAATATATAGTCAGTGCCATATTAGAAATATATACATATATATATCTCCACGTCTACCTGAAATCCTTCCCTAATTAAGTTATTTAAGAAACAGTTTCCATTCCCAGGTGTTCCACACATCTTTCATTTTTTCCTCTCTGTTATAAAATTAAATAAATTTGTTATGACCATTCTTTGGTCAAGAAGTGCAAGAGACTAATGGAAAAGAACAAGAGGAGAAAGGAGAAAAGCAGAGAGAAAGAACAGATAACAATAGAAGTAGCATGTGGATTATCAGTAATAATACCAGGTAAAGACAGAAATAGGCAGCAGGGAATGGCAGAAGCCTAGAGCCAAGAAAGAACCCCTACAAGAAGTGGGACTAAGACTCCCCATCCACTGTGACAAAGCCACTCACCTTACATTTGACTTCATCAGTATCCAGTAAATTTATCAAAACTTCAAGGCCTCCAACATCCCTGATTGCCAACTGGCAGGTCTCTTGAGCTAAGTTGAAATCCCTCATTGAACACAATGCAATCACTGTAGCTGTCTGATTTCCTCCCTACAAAGAAGCAAAACCAGAGAAAAGTTAAATAAGATCATACTCCCCTAGAAATTCACTAAAAGGTGATGAATCCTTGACTTAGAAAATATGTTTCCCCATACAAAGCACATTATTATTTTTTTTTAAGATTTCTGAGTGGGTTAAAATTTGTTAAATGAATCATATAGAGCTGAAGCATGAAAAACCTATACAGAATATCATAAAACATTCTTCAATTAAGAGTCAACCCTTAAAGGCGGTCTGTCTCATTTAAAAAGCTACAACACTAGGCGGTATTAGTATATTAAGTAGAGTCAAATGGCACACCTTAAGAGATTGACTGAGGAATTTAAGCTTGGTATAATGCTCTTGAACAGTGTACTTGCAATGCAAACTGGGTCTGAAAACTATTTCTATAGGTGTATGCAGAACAGTCTGGAACAAGAAGAACCTGGAGAGAACATGAAGAAACAGAAACCATGTGGAAGGTATTTCTAACAATCCAGACCCTGGTCCAGAGTCCTGGTCTAAGGGCTGGAGGTTTGGAAAAGATGAGGGAATTCCAGGAAGACCTGGAGATGAACTGGATGGGCAGAATGAAGGAGAAGAAAAAAAGAAAGCTTCAGTGCTGTGAGTTAAATGTTGGCCCAATTTAGAGAAAACATGTGAGTCATAATTTCTACTTAGCTAATCACCACATGATAAGCTATTCCTTTAAGGTTTTTTTGTTTGTTGGTCTGTGGGGGTGTGTGTTTTAAAAAAATCCTAAGAGATAAAAAAAGACATTATTAATTATTGATCAGTGGACCAAACCTGCCAAGAAATTAAAACTGAAGCTCACTGCAGCAATATCCATTGGTCATTGCTGCTTTGGAAATCTGACAAACATAACATACTATGTATTACTTACATGGCTATTGAGATGGGTTGGTAAATAAGAATGCTAGCACAAGCCCTGAAATAGTTCTTAAGACACAAAAGCAATACTTCTGCAGAGCTAAAAATAAACTATTTTTGTAAAAGTTGCTTATTAAAGACAAACTTTGATTCCTCTTTCAAAATATAATGCCTGTAACCTGAAATAAATTTCTCTCTCTTCTTTTTAAGGACAGACACCTTCAGATTATAACTTACATTTGCCAATTAGCATTTTATATTGCCATTATCTATTATGTGTATAATAGGTGGACTTAGTACAGAAAATGGAAAATGTATACAAACCACATTTCTTCAACAAATGGAAGCAACAGTGGAAGTACTCATTCATCTTTGCTAAGAAATTTAGAAGACAGCTACCTGACCACCAAGTGGAAACCATCCATATTTGTGCCTATTACAAAGAAATGTGACACAACAGAATATAGAAATTATCCATCAATATCATTAACATCACAAGCAAGTAAAATTTTGGTGAAAATAATTCAAAAACAGTTGCAGCAGTACAACAACAGGAAACTGTCAAAAAAAAATTCAAGCCAGATTCAGAAGAGGACATGGAACAAGGAGCATCATTGCTCATGTCAGAAGGATCTTAGCTGAAAACAGAATACCCGAAAGGTGTTTACCTGTGTTTTATAACTATGCATAAGCATCTGACTGTGTGAATCATGAAAAATTATTATGGATAACATTGTGGAGAATGGGAAGTCAAGAACACTTAATTTTGTTCATGTGGAATTCAAACATGGACCAAGAGGCAGTTGTTCAAGCAGAACAAGGGGATACTGCATGGTTTAAAATCAGGAAAGGTGTGTGTCTTCTCACCATACTTATTCGATCTGTATGTTGAGCAAATGATCTGAGAAGATGGACTATATCAAGAAGAACACAGCTTCAGAGTTGGGGAAAGACTGATTAACAATCTGTGATATATTGATGACACAACCTTCCTAGCTGAAAGCAAAGACGACTTGAATCATTAACCAATGACGCTCAAAGACTACAGCCTTCAGTATGGATTACACCTCAACATACAGAAAACAAAAATCCTCACAATTGGACCAATAAGCAACATCATGATAAATGGAATAAAGACTGAGTTGTCAAGGATTTCATTTTACTTGCATCCACAATCAACACCCATGGAAGTAGCAGTTAAGAAATCAAGCAACATACTGCATTTGGAAAATGTGATGTAAAAACTTCTTCACAGTATTAAAAAGCAAAGATGTCACTTGTAGGACTAAGGTACTCCTGACCCAAGCAATGGTATTTTCAATCATCTCACAGGCATACAAAGGCTGGTCAATGAATAAGAAAGACTGAAGAATAATTGATGCATTTGAATTATGGTGTTGGTAAAGACTGCCAGAAAAACAAACAAATTTGTCTTGGAAGAAGTACAGCCAGAATGCTCCTTAAAAGCAAGCATGGCAAGATATTTTTCTATATATTTTATTAGTTTTGTTTTGTTGAGGTCAAACCATTTTACTGATGAGTTTCTGTGGGCCTGAGGCTGTGCAGACAATGAAGTCCAAGGCTCACAGTCCAGCCGAGATCTCCTAGAACTTGAAGCCACTGAAAGCTATCTACGTATTTTGGACATGTAATCAGGAGAGATCAGTCCCTAGAGAAGACCATCATGCTTTACCAAGTAGAGGGTCAGTGAAAAGAGGAAGACCCTCAATGAGATGGATTGACACAGTGACCACTGCAACAATGGGCTCAAACATAGCAACAATTGTGCGGATGGTGCAGGACCAGGCATTTTGTTTTGATGTCCATGGGATTGTTTAGAGTCAGAACTGATTTGACAGCACCTAACAACAACGTGCATGAAAAAGTGAAGATGGAAAGGTTTAAAACACCAGCCTTTCCTCATACTCCTTCTCAGAAAATTCCTTTCATGTCTCTAAAAATAGCATAAATAAATAATTATCCTGTGGTGATGTCACTGTTAGTTTCTTATACTAATGTTCCCTATTGATAATCCAAGCTATCCTTTATATTCAAGACTGTTTATAAGGATAAGAGGCTTAATTTTCTTATTTACATTTAAAATAGTATGTTCTAAGCATGAGAGAAAGAAGGGCTGCTTACGCACAGGGAGACAGCTCAGGGGATAGGAGTGCGTAGAGGGATGGACACAGGGAAGAGGTAATTATTGGGAGGAACTAGAAGGGGAGATGTTGCATTGGGGTAAATTGTGGTCAATGTCATGAGACAAAGTATATGTGAACTGCTGTATGGAAAGTGTATTTGCTCTGTAAATTTTCACCCATTTTAAGAACATCAACTTTCCTACAATTGGTTTTAAAATATAAAGTAAATAAAATTATTGATTTATTATTTAGTTTCATAAACTCCATTATTGAAGACACAGGATCCTCATATGCCAGCATTTCCTTTTCCTCTTTAGTAAAAGAGAAAGCAGATAAGTTGTAACCATAAAGAAAAATGTAAATATTAGTCACAACTAATTAAAGGAAATGAAATAATACACAAAAAGGAAAAGCAAACAAAATAAGAAAAATCATTCATTAAACAAGACCTTTTGTCTGACCTGAGACAGTTAAAAGCAGGCAGAAATGCCTGGGGTATCTGAGTTTCTACATTAAGAGTTTGAAAATCCAAACCAAGAGCTTTAGGTAGAGTTATTCTTTAAGTGGTATGGTCCCCTTCACTTCAAATTCAGACTCTGGTATGACAAGAAGGGAGAAGATATCAAATAGAACATTATGCCTCAGTCAAATGGGGTCCTCCCATCCCATGTCTGGTAATTTGGTAAGGATGTTTTTGTTGTTGTTTGCTGTTATTGAGTCATCTCTGACTCAAGGTGACCCCAAGTTCAACAAAATGTCACCGGGTCCTCCTGCACCATCCTCACTAAGTCCATTGCTGTGGCCACCCTGTAATTTGAGTGCCTTCCAACCTAGTACCTTCCAGCACTATAGTGGGCAATAATCTGTTGTGATCCATAGGGTTTTCATGGATTAATTTGTGGGAACTAGATTGTCAGGCCCTTTTTCCTAGTCTGTCTGAGTGTAGAAGTTTCACTGAAATCTGACCACCATAGGTCACTCTGCTGGTATTTCAAACGCTGGGGGCATAGCATTACAGCAACATACAAGTCACCACAGTATAGCAAACTGACATAAGAGTAGTGTACCATCCTGATATTCTCAGTTGTGTATGATCAAGGACTTTCTCACCTACTATTGAACATTATAATATATTCTTTCATAGCCATTTTCTACTTATATACTCAGCAGAATCTTTGGTTCTATCTCAAATTCTCTTAATTTTTTTCTTCTAAACTTGTCTTTCTTTTGAGCTTTATCTCATCATTTACCACAAGACCAATGACACAAATTATTTAAAAGTCACTTAATTACAGGAAATGCCAAAAACTTAAGATTTTATATTTTTCTAAACATCCCTAAGCCAAATTTGAAATGAAATGACTGAAAATTTACATTTATCATTAAGAAATTAGATCCTTACAGAAAAAAAAAATTCTGTAAATCATCAGCTTCTTCTGAAAATTTGGAAACATATTCATAGCTGGAGGGATTTTTTTAGAACAGTTTTATATTAGGGAAAGTTAGTTTTTCCACATTTCAGGATTTAGTTCTACTCTTGTCACTGACCACACTCCCAAAAGGATTATAAATCTTTCAGAATGAATACCAGAGGTTGGGAGCCAAAATATTCAACATTCACACCCACAAATGTTAGCCAATTGCTATTCTTTAAATACCAACAATATGTCAAAAGATTTGTGAATGTTCGTTCTACTTTGTCCAAATGCCATAAACATCTCACTGGAGAGAAGCAGTGCAAATATGCTCCTATTCAATTAACTCTCCCTTGAGGATGCAATTAGTTGCCAATGCTTATTTTCATATTTTATCACATATTTGCATTTGTGGGTCTTTAAGAGCTGAAGCTCTGGTGGTGTAGTGGTTAAGGCATTTGGCTGCTAATCACAAGGTTGGTCATTCAAACCCACCAGCCACTCCATGGAAGAAAGATAAGGCAGTCTGCTTCTGTAAAAATTTACAGCCTTGGAAACCCAA